TGCCGTCATCGGCCAAGCCGGCACCACGCTGGTATCCTCCTGCGGGCCAATCCTCCGAGAGTGGCAGCATGGCCAGCCCGGGGCCACCCTGCGCGGGTCCCCGAGAGACGCAGCATGGCCAGCCCGGGGCCGCTCCTGCGCGGGTCCTCTGAGAGCAGCATGGTGAGCCCAGGGCCACCCCTGCGCGGGCCCTCCGAGAGTGCCAGCATGGTGAGGCCCGGGTCAACCTCGCGCGGGTCCTCTGAGAGCAGCATGGCGAGTCTGTGGTCACCCCTGCGCGTGTCCCCCGAGAGTGGCAGCATGGCGAGCCTGGGCCACCCCCTGCGCAGGCCAACCCAGACAGCCCAGCGCGATGCCGCAGGACAGCAGTGAGGATCAGGAGGCCCGCGTTGGCGGCCGTCAATTGCATCACGGGTGTTAGGTGGCCGGTCTGGGGGTTCGTCCTGAATGATGAGCTGGTGATTGTCTTCGTAGTCTGTAGACGGTTTCGTGAAATCCTTTTACATTTGGGTATTCCTTCATTTTCAGCCGCGCTTTGATCCCTCAGATCGTACTGACGTTCCGGAAAACCAGTGACTTTGCTGTGGGTACTTTTAACCAACACTGAAACCCCGAGTTCGACGACGTCCTCTCAACGCTCCATGACCGTCTCGCAGCTTTTATTTCTTGGGGTGCTTTGGTTTATCTCAAGCAATCGCGAACATATTTTTCAAAGCCTTCTTAAAGGGCTTTGCGCGCGAAATTGTTTGAAAGTTTTTGATAATGTGCTCATATATATATATATATATATATATATATATATATATATATATGCATGTATTTATATGTATATCTCTGTATAATCAATGAGGCAGCAAAATAAGCCAGGCATGTTTGGAATATTCGCTCATAGGGAGTATTTCTGAATGCATGCCTGACTTGTCATTTGTTGCTATTATGGTAATTCGTTATTCGATTGCTGTTTTACTTAGGAGCACGCCTCCATTATTCAATTTTGATGCCTAGTATCTGTACCAGTAGTTTTGGTATTACTTGGACCCTCTAACCAAAAGTCCTGTAATCGAAGCAATGTTTTCGCCCAACCCCTTAAATCAGATTTCCAATATTAAGTGTTTATTCGCTGACCAAATTACAACAACAAAACTTCTGAGCTTCCCTTTTCGTGGAAGGCTTGTGAAAGGCTCATGTTTTTATAGCAGGTCAGCGTTGTCTTGTATCGCATTCCATTGTTTATGTGTCACAAAAGTCCTGTGATATGGTACCTGTTGACCGACCACTCGTGTGATATGGTACCTGTTGACCGACCACTCCTGTGATATGGTACCTGTTGACCGACCACTCCTGTGATATGGTACCTGTTGACCGACCACTCCTGTGATGTGGTACCTGTTGACCGACCACTCCTGTGATATGGTACCTGTTGACCGACCACTCCTGTGATATGGTACCTGTTGACCGACCACTCCTGTGATATGGTACCTGTTGACCGACCACTCCTGTGATGTGGTACCTGTTGACCGACCACTCCTGTGATGTGGTACCTGTTGACCGACCACTCCTGTGATGTGGTACCTGTTGACCGACCACTCCTGTGATATGGTACCTGTTGACCGACCACTCCTGTGATGTGGTACCTGTTGACCGACCACTTTTCGATCGGGTTCCATCTCCAATGTATTATATAGGCTTCCCAGTGAGCTTTGATTTTGGTGAGGGATCGTCGGAATATGAGCGAGCAGACAGCAGGCTGACACTCACCACAAAGCTCTTTTCCCTTTATGGAGCTGGCTGAAGGCGCCCATAACATTATAACAGTGAACGTTGTTTTGGTTATGCCGCATTTTGTAGGTAAAAATATTGACGCCTGGCTGCTTGCAGCTCATTCGTTGCGACCCGACACACCAGCCTTCAGACCAGGTTGACGCGACATCTGGAATATGTAGCAGATGTCATTGCTGATGGCGTCGAGCCACAGTAAGCAAAGTGTAGGATAAGAGGGGCATGCAATCCGCAGAATGAATAGTTTTCAAGTGGGCAAATGGAAGAGACGGGTGCCCCCCTTATCCTTTCCCTGCTTCGGCCTTCCGAAAATCCGTTACTTCCAAAGTTTGCTTTGTCTGTGTATCACAAAATAAATACAATACCATCTCGTAATTCCGTCCAAAGCGTCCAGTAAAACGGTGCCTTTGGGGCACCTATGCGGTGCTCAGCCTAACCCGCGGCTGACTGGTAAGGCATGAACACCAGTCGCACGCCAGCTGGGAGACGCAGCCAGGGCCAGACGCTAGTCACTCCCTGAAAGACCACCGCAGACCCTGGAAAGGCCGTGAGTGTTTCGCAACATCCGACCACCTGTTCACACCCGGCCCGGTGGGCTAGCGATGTAAGATAAGGCTTTGGTCGTGCCCGTCCATTAGACATAATCAGGATTATTGATCTATAAAACCACTTTCGGTAACTATGCTTTTACGCCCAGCGCCCAGCACAAAGAAATGATAAGTTGGCGTCACATACTTCCAGCAATGTTAACGTTTGTTAAGCAGCGGGTCGTCCTTTACATGAAATGATGGAAAACGTTTGGTGAGGTAGTGAATCGTCGGTGTACTTGACCAGAAATAGCTCATTTTTACGCCAGAGAAACAGCAGGGCTCGCGCTGGTGCGTTTTAAGCACACGCACGCCACCACGCGCATACATCCGCCGTGCATGAAAACGCACGGCACCGCGCGTGTGCACACGCTCAACACACATCCGCGCACCAAAGACGAGCGTCGCACACATGCACACAAGCACACCGGCGCGCACACACACACACACACACACACACACACACACACACACACACACACACACACACACACACACCACACACACACACACACACACACACACACACACACGCACTCACGCACACACGCGCACACACACACACCACACACAACACACACACACACACACACACACACACACACACACACACACACACACACGCACACACACACGCTGTGAATCATAGCCAAGGACGGCACACGGAGCGACGATTTTGCTGCCTGTCACGTCCAATTACACAGCCGACCTCTTCTAACCGGGGTCATGACCAGCGGGAAGGCTGGCAGCTTCACTGGGGTCACTGGAGCGGCGGCACTCAGTGCTGACCCCGGATCTCCACCCGCAGATCGCATTCACCTCGCCCAAACGTCCAGGGGCTGTCAATGGGACGCAAAATAGAGGCGGGCCATTAGGCGGCGCCCCAGGGAGGGGAGAGCAGGTGAGGCGGGGCGGTGGCGTTCCCAGGCCGGGGGCGGCCGCGCCTTGCCACACCGCCCTCAGTGACTGGCCGGTCTCCATCGATCTGTCTCCGACGAGGCTGTTACAAAACTGAATGGTTGCAGACGTCGGTATTCACGGCTGCAAAACAGTGGTCAAACCGAATCATGCAAGTAAAGTCGGTGTGCCCGTTGCCCTCAGCGCAGAAGTTGGTAGGGTTATTCTCAACTTCTCGACCCAGGTCTGACCTCGCTCTTCTTGAAATGCAATCGATAATCACAGTTTCATTGTCTACTTAAAGATAATGCAGCTCACTGTTCCCTGACTGTTAGCGGTGTCTGTAATGAGCATTTGCTCGTCCAGACCGTAACACCCGAAGCCAGCAATTAAAAGCTTCCGTTTGATTAAAGAACATTTACGTAACGAATCAATGCTGAAATTAAAGAGAATCCCATACTGGCACCGGGCATCACTACGCTTACCTTTGTCAGCGTCTCGTTCGCAAGTTCGTGATATGCAAAGCTAAGGACGCCCACGACCACTAGTTATTATTT